GAGAATCAGATGCATATCAGAAAACACCGACTCTTTCATAAATGGCACTTACACGGCTTGCGCGGGGAGCAGAAAATGCCAAACCCATCCCACACACACACACACTCACTTGCCGGGAGCTCTGCCCAGTTCCCGGCAAAACGAGTACCATCATACAGACCCTGATTGACATTCCACACTTCACCGCGCCTATCGAAGCTCAACGAGGCCTTCATGTGTCTCGTCTGACTCATATTCCCAAGTCGCAGATGAGGGTGTGGATGCTATACTTTGCCCGGAAAATATTTGGATGCACAGCGTCATCACTGCCACCACTCATGCGCCGCCTTTTCTTCACAACTGCAACCCTGCAAATTTACATATTTATCTGCCGCCCACCACCTCGCACTACAGCAAGTACTTGCGAAAATGGCGCCCTCATCAAGCAGCCTCGCGCATGCCCGGCGTGCCGTCCGCATTGCCATCCCACTACCTTTGCAAAAAACTCAAGGCGCTTCCAACACAACAGGCGCGCATCGTGATCAGCGCAACAACGCAAAGAAAATTCAATGCGTGCTCCTCGCGTTCCCTTGCAAGCAGTTCCAACCCTTCTGCACAAACTCAGCACATATGCATATCGAAACACGCAGCTGGACGCCACTACGGGGACGCTGAACGCACGGAAGCGGCAAGCTAATATTAGCACAATGCTGTAGGTACCTCAAGGTTCTTCTCACAACAACTGCTCTCCTGAAGACCGCACAGAGCCAATGGTCTTCACGAAGTACAGAAAACAGCGTGCAGGTGCGAAATCCTTGGCAGCTTGCGTCTGAAAAACCATTCTCTGTGAAAGTACCAGAAATGTTCCTTCTCACGCAGCCGAGACTGCTCGAATAACGACGACACACTCATGAGTGAGTTTCGCATTGAAACCTAGAGGCTTAATTGACCTCACCAACAAAAACACTCGCCTGGAATACCGGTGCGATTGTCCTGAAGTGCAACATCGCCTGCGGCTCCAACGCTGCTTGCCCTGTCTTCGCGAAGACGAATACCCAGATATAGGACTCGATTGATAACCCATCCGTCAGCTTGCTCACTCCAGATGAGAATGCCACCATGAGGCGCTCCCCATTCGTACTGCCAAGCTACGAACGAGCGCAATGCGTCGTGGAATAGCCATGCGATGAGATATCAAAACCTACGGCACCCAGACCACTCCTCGAATCCAACGCCTAGCCGACGCCTTTATTCTGCAGGCCCGCACTAATACTACTCAACAATGTGAAGGCCTCCAACATCCAAGCGCATAGCACCAATCTTAGCATGGCCACCATACAGCCAACATCTCTACGGCCGCCTTCCTTGGACCTCACTTCCTGCAAATTCAAGAGATATCATAAGCATTGGACCTTGGAGAGGAATGCGAAGCAAAGGCACCTTCTTCACGCAGGCCAACCACTTCTCAAATAGAACGCCCAACAGTGCCCATACTCTGAGGGTATATTTTCTCAATACTTGCCTCACGGCACACTCGCCTACAGCCAACTGCTTATCAACAGATTCAGGACCTGCCACTACCAGAAGCACGCATATACATACCCTCGTAGTCATTTCTACAGGCTTGTTGGCATCTACGTACCAGCTCCTGCATTGAAACCCAAGAACGTCGCGGAATATATGTTCAAAAAATATGTGAAGTTATGGCACATACCCAGACCCGCCCGCGTACAGCACTGCACAACAACAGTACAACACAGCCCTTACTCTGCAGGTCGTTTTTGCGGCAGTTACCAAGGAAACCCCTCACGCCCAAGGGCGGAGGCTAAGCTCAGCTATGCTAAACACATTTTCAAGCGCAGATGAACGTGTATACAGCTGCCCCGCGCGAGGTTCTCCTGCTCCTGAAACATAATAATATGGAAAGCGTTACTTGTTTGCGAGGCATATGAATAATAAGAGCGCTACCCTCACGCTGTCTGACCAACACCCAAGTCCAAAGGCAGGCCAATGAACATACCCTGCAGGTGTAAGCTTACAGTACTTCTTTGCAGCACACCTGCTTATATCCAAGTTGACATTCACACACAAGAGCAGCCAACGCTCACACGCACCAACGCTCTCACGCACCAGGTCCTGGATTTTACCACACAAAGACACCGTGAAATAGACACGAGAAGAGGCTGTAGAATCCCGGTGATTCTCGACCACCACCAAATTCCAACACCTACGCAGTGCCTCTACTTTCTATAGTCGACCTAGCAAAAGCTACTGAAGGCAGAGTTGCTTGCAGAAACCGATGTTCAGCAAGGTCCACTTGCTACACACACACATGCGTGTGTCGACCAACATTCACACAACCACGTTCATTGGACCGCACTCCCTGCATTATCGTAATGAGGCTGCGAGCGTTAGCTGCTGGCTAGGCTCGCGCGGGTAAAGGCCTACACTCACTCAGCTCGATCACATATCAACTTTCGAGCCCAGCCAGTGTCCCCATACTCTGCTTGAATACCCTTCTGGTGCTTGCCCGAGGCACACTGAGTTACAGCTAACTGGGGAACAGCATGATAGGAAGCATCCGCCGTCATATACACGCACAGGCGTGCCCTGGCAACCACTGCTAATGGCATAGAGGCATTTACGCACCAGCTTCTAAATTCAAATAGTGAAACACATACGCGCCAGGGGATGCCTAGGCATGCAGTTTAGAAGACGGTGAAATGCCGACGCGTCCTAGGCGCTGCCCATGCCCAACACCTAGCCAACAAGCGTCCACATGAGTTAAGCATGGATACCATGTCAAACACACACTTGCACACGCCGGCCAGCATCTCAGCTGCTACCGTTCCTGGGTCGCACTAACTGCACAACCAAAATGATGCCGCTGGCGTGCTTCCTTTATAGGCATGTGTAGGAAGAGCTCCGCATGCACCGCAGCCCGAGCAGCACAGCTAAGGTACAGCCACCACCCAAACACCCATATGCCCTCGCGACAATGTATACAGCATTGTTGAACATAGCGCAATGCCTCCCTTAGTTCACCCATGCACAGAAAAGACAAAGAAAAGACATGCGAAGAGACCGTCAAATCATGGCGCATCCCGAACACTGCCCGCATTCAACACCAAAAACGACACCCTGAGTATGTCAGCCCACTCTAGCAACTCCCCAACGGCAAAGCGCCTGCCACCAAAGCACAGCACCAAAGCACAGAACACCAACCTTCCCATGACCGCCTTGCAGAACATTAACTAGGCATACACCACCCATCACCTCGACAGCCACACCGTTTGGATCTCACTTTCTGCAGA